AGGCTGTGGCAAAACGGGCTTTCGGCTACTTTGCAGATGATAGATTTGGATTCTCCGACTCTGATTTCCTTTAGTCAACCTTTATGAAATATTCTTCATGTGTTAAGAAATTATGGCGATAAATTTTCAATTACCAATTATTCGATAACGTAACGGTAATTTCCGTCATCTAGATTAAATTATTAGTTTACAAAAAACACTGTATATTTTAATCGAATGAATGCGATTACATTATTTTACTATTAGAGTATAGAGGTATTGATGCTTTATCGAAACATGTTATGGACCATATCGAGCAGTTGGATCGTTATATGATATTTGAAAGGTACTTTACCGTACTTCAAAGTACAAAATTATCATGTTTTTCCCTTACCCACACTCTATCTTAATTTTCGACAATGGGGTTTGAATTAACATGAGGAACGATAAACGATTTCGCCTAGTGTCCATCCTATCCTGTCAAAGGTTTTCATTATCACTTGTGCTCACAACAGCGGACGATTTAGCTCGCGTGAAGAACTATCTCAATGCTGTGTTTCGCACCGTAATTATGATAATGTTAGGAATAATACTTTTATATGTCTTATCATGTTTAACTCTATAACCTTCTCTATATCACTTTCTTCTCTTTTTTTTAATCAATAATAGAAATGTTTTAGTGAGACGTTAGTGCTACTATTTTTATTACAAAAAAGATAAAAATAAGGTGGAACATAAAGGCATAAATAAGATCTGGTTATTTTCTTTTTTTATACGATAAATATTCAGATTAGTGAAAATATTTAATTGATTATTGTTGAACATGTTGATTTGATTCGAGTTGTTGAATACGTTGATTTGCTTCGCGTAATGCTACATCAAGTGACATAGCTTGTTCTTGTAAACTAGCTGCTCGTGCTTCTGTCTCACTATATGAAATAAAATTATCAACAATATTCATTTCAAACAAAAAAATATATATATATATATTTTTTAATAAACTTACGTTAATTGTTGTTGTAATTGTGCAATTGTTCGTAATGCATCAAAACCAACTTTAGCTGATTTCGAAGCTACTGAACTAGCTCTATCACTATCACCTTGTGATCGTCCTAATCGACGTCGTTCTGTTAGACCACCACGACTTATGGCTTCAAAAGATACATGTTCACCTCCTATTGTTTCATCATCATCCTATAAAGATACAATAAACAAAATATGCAATAATAACATTAGTTTTGTTATTTAATCACTTTACTTTTCGTCTTTCTGTTGATATATCAGGCCAATCTGATTGATCTTTTGTTGATGGTTTTTCAATTTCACGTTTCGGTGGACCTGTATCTATTATACTTTCATCACCAGTTAATTCAGCTAAGAGAACTTTCGATGCATAGATCCAATCATTGCATTCATCCTAGAAATAAATTTATCTATATTTCGAATACATAAAAACAAAAAGAAATAGATTTCATATATATATATACGCAAATATTCACAAAAGAAAGACGACAATATTAAATAATACCTGTAGAAGTGGCTGTTAAAAATAGGTTTTTTTTCTTTTATATTTTAATGAAATGAAATTTTTCATTACCTGCATACGTTTAAGATCAAGTACTTCTTTTTCTGCATCACTTTCTTTACGCATTTGTTTAGTAAACATTTCTTCAGCAGTTAATGCTGCACAACATCTAGGAAAAAGGAAATCAAAATTCACATTTGAAATATTATCATTTACTTCACAATATATTTTGTTATAGAATGTAATTGTTCACATAAAGTTTTTTGTGTTTTAATTAAATTTTCAATTGGTATACGACTTGCTTCAAGATGATCATGTCCTTCTTGAGATAATGCTGATTGATTAGGAGCTAGATCAATAAGAATTTGAATAAGCCAATGAACCATATTTGAATCAAGTTGAAGAGTCTTTAAACGAAAAAAAAAAGAACAAATTAGATCAATAACAATATTTGTTTGATAATTAAAATAATTTACTTCATCCGAAATACGACCATTATGACTTTCAACATAATGACGAAGAGAAACAAGACCTTTATTAGCCTGTTGTAATACTGCTGAAGCTTGGACACTAAAAAAAAAATATTTTGAAAAATTTTACTATATGATATACGTACACATTTTTAGTCTCATTTCCTTTCTTTTCTCCACCGATATCATCCTGATTATCTTTAGTTGATTTTCCAACAAGAGTTACTGCTTTATTCATTGTTTCAAACCATTCATCCATTTGTGAAAAAAATGCTAACCATTCAGCTTCATTTATTTTTCCACCACTATAAGCATATGTATTGAATTTACTATTCCATGATTCAAGTACATTGCTAAAAAAAATAATTGATTGTGCTAAACCATTTTCACCTGTCATTCGTATACGATATTGTGAATGTAAAAGAGAAATATTCTAGACAACAAAAGCATACAAATAATTATTAGGAAATAAACAAAAAAATTTTTTTTTCCTGTATAATTAGTTCGAAACAATTCTTACATCAAATAGATCTCGAAGTGCTTGTTGTTCAGTATGATCTCCACTATTTGTTGATGGATGACGATTAAGTAATCGTTCTGTCATTTCAATCCATTTTTTTAATTGTCTATCAGCTTTTCTCATACGTTCTTCATTAATAAGTACAGTATCACCACCAAATTTTTCTATTTCACGTGTACAAGATTCTTCCCAAAGTTTAATTTGATTTAAATATTCAATTGTTTTTCGTTGATCAGGTATGTGAATGAATTTTCCTTCGAGATCACTATAAAAGAAAAATAACATTTGCAAAAAAAAAAAACCAAAGAATTTTCTTATTTCTTTAAAACATACAAATGATTTTGTCGAAATGTATCTCGAAGTGTTTCAATAGATTTATTAAGACGATTAAGATTTTTTATTGTTTCAAATTCACGTTGTTCTTGTTCACGATCAAATGTTTCAACTATTTCACGCCATGCATTTGCAGATTTTTGTACATCAGTTAATTCAATTGTATCTTTATCCATAAGATAAATTGAAAAATGACTCGCTAATGTATACCAAGTTTGTTCAGCAAGACTTAAACGTTTTGATGTAGCTAATTTATGTTCGACAATAACCTTTTAAGACAAAAAACAAAAAACAAATTTTTATCTTCAATAGAAGAAGACCACACCAGATTTGGTGGAACATCCTGAGACAGAATATCATTTATGTGGTTTGGTAGAGTAAATTGCAATGGATCGAATGATATATGAGAAATCAAGTTATATGAAAATTTTGATGTGTTATAAGTCAATATGTTGATAAAAATGCTTAATGAATATTAGAAGGTAGTTATAGATATTGTAATCTATAGAATGTTCTAAGACAAACATATACAATTTTTTTTTAAAGCTCAATTCGATACAGTGTTATACATGCTCTTCAATATTCTATAGTTAATAGTTTTCATCGTTAATTTCTTGATTATATGATATTACAATGTGTTCAACTCTCTCAAAACTTGCATATTATCAAGCTCTATAATGTATCACACATGACATTTGTCGAAACAACAGAGACTGATTGTCAACTTACAAGATTGTTTCCTAGAATAGACTATATGAAGTGACTGGTATACTAACGATATTTTAATAATGTTCAGCGGTCCTATTAAAAATAATTATGTATCAATAATTAGTACAGCATGCCTAATAAACTAATATAAATAACTCCTTCATAAATGGAAAAAATATATTTGAAGAAGCAATACTCCTTTCTGCAACCCTATACCGGTGTCATCCCCCTCTAGGAGTCTCGAAGCTAAAACATTTTTTTCTGTTTATGAAGTAGTTATTTATATCATTTTATTAAGAAAATAGGTTTATTCTAGAGGGCAATCTTGTAAGTTGACAGAGTCTCGGTTGTTCCGAAAAATGTTATCTATGAAATATATAGAACTCGATAGTATGCAATCTTTGAGAAAGTTTCACGTTGATACTCACTTGTTCTGTAGCCAGAGAGTTGAATATATTGTAATATCATATAGTCAAATAACCTAGATCTAAGAAAAGGAGCCATTTTTAGGTATGAAGAAAACTGCTGTTTATAGAAAATTGAAGAACACATAGAATTGTATCAAATTGAGTTTCAAAAAAAAAATGTATAAGTCTGTGTTAGAATATCTTATAGATTACAATGTTTATCATTACCTTATAATACCTACAAGCATCACAACCAGTGTATCGACTTTTAGCACATGAATATAACTTGATTTCTTATATACTATTCTATGTACTGTTCAGGATAGACCACCAAAGTCGATGAGATCTTTTAAAAAACAAATTTACTTTAAGAGCAATTGTATGTGCTGCTCCACGCCATAATTCTTTTTCGGATGCAATAACAATAATTTGTTTTTCCAGACGTTTACGTTGTAAATCATATAATTCATGATATTCAGTAAGAAGTGAAGCATTTTTTTGAGAGTCCGTTAAAGCTGTTTGAAGCTAAAGAAAATTTTGCTTGTTTTTTTTTTATACTAATTTAGAAGTATAAATAATCAAAACGAGCAAATAACTAACTAGCAGTAAGCGCTTACTCTGATATCAAAAGAAAAAAAAAACTATTCAATTACTAGAAGTGGATGGATTGTTTAATAGAAGACAAGAAAAAAAAAAAAAGAATACGATAAATAATTCTTACATCTCTTTGAGCTATTTCAGCTTCTTCAGTAACACGTCGATCATGTTCACGAACATCTTCCAATTCTCTATAAGAAAGGATAAACAAAAGACAAGCATTATTACCATCTTCTTGATTATAAGTTTAATTATGTTTACATGTCACAGAACAAGTGTATGTATGTATATATATGTATGCTAGAATTGAATTGTTCGAGAATTGCTTCAATAACTAACGCGTAATAGTAACATATGGACAAAGGTAAATAAACTATATACATAAAGCAATGATGGCTTTCTCTTTATCAAGGCATTAAAGAACATACGAGTAGTATTGTCACATACATATATTTATAGTTATGTCGACTACATCTTCATCTCATCGAATTGTTAAACCTAAACCTATTCGATATAATCCATTGCCTATTCAAGGTAATTTATTTGAAATAAAAACTATAAGAATTTTTGTTTGTTTTTTTGTTCTAGTTGATTTAAAAACTTGTGATTATGCAACTTTACTTCGTGTTGCAAAAATTTCAAATACAAATAAAATTGATCGTTCATCAATACAAACAAATTCATCAGATAATATATCTCATGATAAAAAACGTACACGTATACTTTTTACATCATGGCAAGTTGCTGAATTAGAACGTTTATTTGCTGAACAAAAATATGTTTCAGCACAAGAACGTTCAGTTATATCAATGCGTATTGGTTTATCACCAACACAAATTAAAATATGGTTTCAAAATCGTCGTTATAAATCAAAAAAAACAACAACATTATTTTTACATACAACATAAGTGTACCAACAGTTGTTTTAAATTGAATTAATTGTTCAGCTAAACGACGATCAAGTGCACGTTGAGCAATTAATTCTTCATGTAAACTAAAGCAAAAAATACAAGATATTGATTTAATTTTTTTTTTTTTTTTTTTTTTTTTTTTTAATAAAATAAAATAGAATTAAACCTTTTTATTTGTCGAGGTACACGTGATAATAAAGATGAATAACGTTCACGTAATTTACTTAATAATTCACCACGATCTTTACATTCAACACTGACCTTGATACAATAAACAAAACATTAAAAATAAAAATAAATATGTCAAAGCAAAAAAAAAGAAATTTACTTGACGAATTATTTCATGAAAAATAATATTATAAATATTTTGTTCTTCTTTAATTAATTCAAGTAAATTATGAAGCTATAAGAATTTTTAAAAAAAAATGTTGTTTTAATCAAAAATTCATACTTGAGTTTGTCCATGTAAATCACAATCTTCAATAGTAATTTTTTCTAATAATGCATCCATTGTATGTCGTAATTTTAATACTTGTGTTCGTCCAATTGGTTTTCTATAAAAATATAAAAGATTAAATATTATATCGAATTATTTATTCTTACAAAGATGGAAATACAGTAACATGATTGACATGATCTTCAGTGATAGTTGCATGTTTTCTATTAGAATAGAAATAGAAATAACAAAATTTCGATACACAAATAATTACTCGTCATGAACTTCGATAGGTGTAACACCAATATTTTTAACTAGACGAAATTCTGCGGGTATTATTGATTCAGGTAATACTATATCCTAAATTTAAATATTATGATGTTTGATATATATTATAGATATAACAAACTTGTTGTTGTTGTTGTTGCAATTCATTTCGTTTAGCTCGAATAGCACTTTTATCAGTAGTTCGTTGTTGAGCAGGTGACTTGATTTGTTGATCTTGTGTTATAATAGCTGCTGTAGCTTCGCATAAAAATGATATATCACTAGAATAAACAAGAAATATTTCTTATAAACTTAATATAATATTAAAATAATAACGAACTGTCCAGCTCCACATGTACATGGATTTTGTTCAAGTAAATAACGATATTTTTCTCGTTGTCTTGGATAATTCCAGGCATTATCTGGACGACGTGCAACTGCCTATAGAACAAAATAAACTTGAAAATTTCGATAATAAATAATAAAAATATGAAAATTCTCTACAGGTGGCATTGGTCTTAAAAGTTTATTTGCATTTGTTATACCAGGCGGTCCTAAATATTCAGCTGGTAAAGCTGTTTGACGTAAAGTAATCATAAGTTCTTGTGGTAGAAAATCATTTTCTGTTCGACCAGCAGGTCTTTGTGACTGTCCTAAAATAATTACATTTGCGATTATTAATAAATCATAGAGAAAATGTAAAACACAGACCTCGAAGTTGCGGTAAAACACAAGCATTATTTGATTTAGTTCCATTAATTTCTTGTTGTTGAACTTCAACAATACTCATTGTAGATTAACAAAATCAAATACTATTGAACTTCTAATTGTCTCTTCCACTCTCTAATCAATAACTATCATTGAAAAATGATTCACTCTTGACAACAACCTCTATGACGAAAAAAAAATGAATTCAATTAAATCTATTTTTACAAAAAAATCAATAAAATTTTTAATAAAATAAGTTTTAAAATAAAATTTTCTTGTAAAAATAATATTCGATAGTAGCGTCCTCTTATTCGATTGGTCATCATTTTTTATTTGACCTTTATTTGTTTCATTGATCTATCCTATCTATCCATTTAAAAATAACATATTGTATTGAATATTTTAAATTTCTAATGGAAAATCCAACAGAAAAAACTCCTTCATCGACATCATCTATTGATGAACGAGATTTAGTATTATCAATGCGTAAACTTGATGTAATTAAAGAATTAGGGTTTGTAAATTTTCAAAAATATATATTAAAATTAATTTCTAAAGGTTTGTTGTTGTTTTTTTTCTAAATAGAGAAAAACAAAATCAATTACAACGTATTCAAACAAATCTTAATCAAAATACAGATTTAGTTACACGTGAAAATCAAGTTTTACGTGAATTCCGTAAAGAACTTGATATGCTTGTACAAGAACGTATGTCACATATTGAAGAATTACGATTAATTCATGCAGATATTAATATTGTATGTATAAAATAAAAAATTTTTTTATGTTTTTTTTTGTTTATGTAATTTATTTTTAAGATGGAAACAACAATAAAACAAGCAGAAGAAGAACGAACTAAAATCTTACACGAAAGTAAACGTCTTTTAAAAGATTATCAACCAATGAAAGAACAAATAAATAAATTACGAGAAATGCTTAATCTTGAAAAAATTCCTGACAATGAAGATGATGAAGCTGCATTAATAACAATGCAGTAAGTTGAATTTAAATGTAAACAAAAAGTGATCCCTATCCAATTATATCTATATGACATTCAAGTAGTTAGAGCGATGTTTTAAATGACATTATCTCTTTTAAATAATAGTGATATAAACAGAAGAAACATAATAATTAGCGTGTAGATATAGAGAATACTCACACCCACGTATCACTCTGTATAATTTGTTACGTTATATAAGATGAATTTATAGTTTATTGAAACTTCTTCGAGATTTTGATTATCACGTTTCTTCTGTTTATATCACTATTATTAGAAAAAAAGACAATGTCATCGGATAATATGCCATTTAGAACATTGCCCTAACAAGGAAGCCATTCGATGTGATACCTTAGTCATTGCGTAGAATCTGTTGAGACTACACAAAAAAAAAACTAGAGCGGTTCTTCTCGGTGCGCTGACCTTTTGGAGTTATGACTGTTATATCAAAGATTTCTTATCTTTCCTAAAAAAAAGAGTAGTCTCTTCTCGAAAATATTATGGTTTTTGAGAGTCTAATAACTTCAAGAGCTGTCTCTAGACAAAGTTGGCTGGGGTCTCGTCTCAAACACAAGGTATAACCTCGGGTGATTCTCTCGTAAATATTCGAAGCTCATACGGATATAGTTAGGTAGGGATCACTCTTTATTTATGTACAAACTAATTTTCGTTGAGATTTAGAACTTATAGAATACTGTTTATAAAACAACGAAATGTTTTTTGTTCGCTTAGATTTATTGCTCAACAACCAATTGATCATGATCCAATAACATCAAATCGAAATTCACATTCATCTACAACAACATCAACGTCAGATAATACTCATGAGCAACATCATTCATTAATTACACCATATATTCATTCATCACAACAAACGAATAATTCAATAAATACTGGTCCAATTTCAACTGGAACATCAAATAATAATCAATCTCAAGCATCAGGAATAAATGTATCGAAAGTACTTGCTGGTATGGGATCTAATATTGATCGATCAGCATTTCGACAGCAACCACCACCAATGAAGGTAAACTTTTAGTTTTAGATCAAAAATCGACAAAAAAATTCCTATCATTATGAGAAAATAACTCAGAGAGATCAAGAAACATTAGATATAAATATAAATACAAATGTTTAGTGAACTGTTCGAAATGAACATGAAATCTTTCATGTTTCTGTCAAACATACGAACAATTCTATATCATGAATAATTTTTTTAGCATCCATTTTGTCACTTTGCTAATAAAAATTAATATTGAAAAGTTATTCAGTGTATAACATTATTTTTTATTTTAGACTTGTCAATCATGTCAACAACAAATTCATCGTAATGCACCTATCTGTCCGATATGTAAAGCTAAAAGTCGTTCACGTAATCCAAAAAAACCTAAACGTCGTCATCTAGATATTAATCCTCAATAATAACAAAATAAATTTTGTACAAATCTCGATCAATTTTTCTTTTGTCAATGTATAGTTTCCTTACTAAATCGTTGTTTTCTGTTCTTTTTCTTTTTTTGAACTTCTCTTATGTACGCAGTATAAATGTTTATCATTATATGAATATTTCATTAATTGTAGATTTAAAACAAAGGACAACAAAAAAAAAACAAACCAATGGCTCGTCGATATGATACACGTGCAACAATATTTTCTCCTGAAGGTCGTTTATATCAAGTTGAATATGCTCTAGAAGCTATATCACATTCTGGTGCATCATTAGGTATTCTTGCTGAAAATGGTGTTGTACTTGCCGGTGAAAAACGTAATATAAGTCCATTACTTGATGATGTTAAATATTCAGAAAAAATTTATAAAATTCATGATGATCTTTGTTGTTCTGTTTCTGGTATAACCAGTGATGCAAATATATTAATTAATGAATTACGTATGATTGCACAACGGTATGTTTAACAAAAATCAAATAACATAAATTAAAAAAAAAAAATTTTGTTTTTTGTTTCGTTTAAGATATTTATTAACTTATCAAGAACCGGCACCCATAGAATATATTGTTTCACGTTTATGTAATATAAAACAAGCATATACACAATTTGGTGGTAAACGTCCATTTGGTGTATCATTTCTTTATATGGGTTGGGATAAACATTATGGTTATCAATTATATCAATCGGATCCAAGTGGAAATTATGGTGGATGGAAAGCAACATGTGTTGGTCATAATTCACAAACGGCTATATCAATTCTTAAACAAGAATATAAAATAGGTGAAACACAATTAAATGATGCATTACGTTTAGCTATAAGAGTATTTAGTAAAACTCTTGATACAACAAAATTATCACCAGAAAAAATTGAAATAGCTGTTTTACAACATGATGATAAAACAAATCAAACAACAATTCGTATGTTAAAAGATGATGAATTAACAACATTAATTAAACAGTATGAAGATGAACAGAGTAAATTAGAAGCCGATAGACAAAAACAACAACAAACAACAACTAGTGCATCAACAGTTGAAAAAGATAAAAAATAACAAGTAGATTAATTGAAAAGACAAAAAAAAAACAATTATTCAACATTCAACCATGAATTTTCTTTTCCTTTGATTATTGCGTTTGTGTTG